TAGGAGGAACACAAGTTCAAAGCCAGCCTCAGCAACTTAGTGAAACTTTGTCTCAAAATAAAACTTTAAAAGGGCTGGGGTGTTGCTCAGCGGTTAGTGCCCCTGGGTCAGTCCTCAGTACCAAAAAAAAAGAAGAAGAAAAAAAGAAAAGGCTATGAGGCAGATCAAAATTTCTCCCTCTTCCTCTGCTTTATCAAAATTTTATATAATTTCATTTTGATTGAGAATAGCTCAAAATGGCTATTTTTAAGTGATGTCTTTAGGGTTTGTTTTTCTGCTTCTTCATTATTTATAGTTTTGGGGCAAGTTACTCAACCTCTCTAAATTTCAGCTTACTTGTCTGTGAAACATTGATGATAATAATAACATTGACCTTGTGGTCTTGAAGATTTGGTGAGTTAAGTGTCATAAGATGACAAGGATTTGTTAAGGCTAGGGTTGTGGCTCAGTGATAGAGCACTTGCCTAGCATGTGGGAGGTACTGGGTTCAATTTTAACCTGCATATAAGTAAAATAAAGATCCATTGACAACTAAAAAAAGTGTATTTAAAAAAAAAAAAAAGGACTTGTAAATAATATCATGGGGCTAGGGCTCAGTGGCAGAGCACTTGCCTAGCATGTGTAAGGCTCTGGGTTCGGTCCTCAGCACCACATACAAAGAGAAGCACATAAAATAAAGACATGTAAGGGCTGGGGATATAGCTCATTTAGTAAACTGCTTGCCTCACAGCATAAGGCCCTCGGTTCGATCCCCTGCACCCCACCCCACCCAAAAAATAAAATAAAGATATGCTGTCTACCTACAATTACAAAACAAAAAAAATTAAAGAATAATAAAGTCATATATAGGGGCTGTGGCTGTAGCTCAGTGGCAGAGCACTTGCCTCACACATGTGAGGCACTGCGTTCAATCCTCAGCACCACATAATATATAAGTAAATAAAGATATTATGTCTGTCTACACTAAAAAAATACTTTTAAAAAAGTCATATATAGGGGCTGGAGTTGTGGCTCAAGTGGTAGAGTCCTCACCTAGCATCTGTGAGGCACTAGGTTCGGTCCTTAGCACCACAAAAAAATAAAATAAAGATATTGTATCCACCTAAAACTAAAAAAATAAATATTTTTATAAAGTCATATATAAATGTACAAATAATAAAAATAATAACAGGAAAGTGATAATTTAGCATCTCAGTGAGGAAGACATAATCCAGTTCTTGACTTCTGTTACTGCCATCTTTTGTGTCTAATCTGTACCATTATCTTTCTGCATCCTGGATAGGTGTCCTGTTTGCCGGTACTGTCAAACACCAGAGCCAGTAGAAGAAAATAAGTGTTTTGAGTGTGGTGTTCAGGAAGTAAGTAATGGATTATGGAAAAGAATGATGAATACAGCTTTATTTGCCTGGAATTTTCTTCTACCCAGTGTGGCTTAAAGTCTTTTTGACACACACAAAAAAAAATTAAAATGAGTCTCAAATACATGACTTCTAAGCAAAAATACTTCATGCTATTATTGTGTTTTTTTTTTTTTAAGACTTGGCCATTTATTGATAAATTGTGAATTCTATTTTGCTGTTTACATAAAATTCCATATAAATCAGAGAAAATGATTGACCCATAAAAGCATTCTGGATTGTTGCATTTTTAAACATATTTATCCAAAATTCCTGTAGGAATAACTCTAAGTCTCATTCTATATCAGCCCCTTCCCATCCCAAATGGGCTAATTCATGTATTTTTATTTAACTAAGATCTTACCTCTTCCTTGGCAGAATTTATGGATTTGTTTAATTTGCGGGCACATAGGATGTGGGCGATATGTCAGTCGACATGCTTATAAGCACTTTGAAGAGACACAGCACACATATGCCATGCAGCTCACTAACCATCGAGTCTGGGACTATGCTGGAGGTGAGCACCACTCTGATTTTCTAATTTGGATCTATTCTCTTAGGAGACATTTTCCTTCAGAATCTCTCCACTTTCTCTCACAGCTTGAAGCATCATCTTCCTGTCAGCTGTTGTTAAAACTCTTCATGGTGCCCTGTGGGCTCCATTTCCCAGGAGTGGCCTCAGTTGCACATTATAAGGGGAGTTTCTCTTGCCCTTTTTTTTAAATTCAAATGATTTAATCCAGTTTTTTAAAAATATTGCAAGACATTTCACCTAGACTTGTAAAAACAAAAATTTTCAGTTAAAAATATACGGAGGCCTTTTTCATTTTGAAGGAACCCACATTGGTTGACTAATTTCTTTTCTTTAGATAATTATGTCCATCGACTGGTTGCAAGTAAAACAGATGGAAAAATAGTACAGTATGAATGTGAGGGTGACACTTGCCAGGAGGAGAAAATAGATGCTTTACAGTTAGAGGTAAGATGCCTATCAGCTACCACTTAGTACCTATTCCTACTGCTTCTTTCTATTTCAACTGGAAGGGTTGTTTGACTTTTTAATTTTTGCTGTTTATTTTGCATGTAAACTTCTTTTTTTTTAAACTTCTATCATTGCTATGAAGGGTTAAAATATTTTTATACCATATGTTTCTGTTTTTGTTTTTGTTTTGAGTAGCAGGGATTGAACCCAATGATGCTTAACCACTGAGCTACATCCCAGCCCTTTTAAAAAAAAGAAAGAAAGAAAGAAAGAAATTATTTTGAGACAGGGTCTCGCTACGTTACCTAGGGCCTTGCCACGTTACTGAGGCTGGCTTTGAACATGTGATCCTCCTGCCTCAGCCTCCACAATTGCAGGCAACATTGTGCTCTGCACATCTGTTTTTCTTATTGAAAGTTTAAGCTTCACTGTGCCTTATTATTTTCAAGTGACATTCCTAGTTGTCTCCAGTTCAGGTTAGTTAATTTAAACAATCTTGGTTATCTTTTGTAGCTGCAATAAACTGAAAATTAGAATGTTCCTTTGGCATCACAGTAGCAGCTGGAAACTGAACAGACTTGATCAGAATAAGGATAACCCATTAGTATCTTTCCATCCCCAGAAGTGTTTTTGTACACATTGGGCTGGGGTTTTATGCTTTAGAGGCTTGGATGTTTAAATGTTGACTCAAAGTATATATTTTATGAATTAGAGACTGATATGCTTAAAGCCATTTTCTGAATATTCGTATACATGAAATAACAAAATTAGTACAATCTAGCTTTTCTCCATAGTAGTAAATTCCATCTACCATAAAGTTATTATAGTATAAAGTCTATTTTAAGTTAGGAGAAATTTCAACATGAGTTCCATTTTGTGTAAATGCAAAAAAAAAAAAAAAAGATTCTTTTTTTTTTTAATGGATATTTATTTTTTAGTTGTAGGTAGACACAATATCTTTATTTTGTTTTTTTGTGGTGCTGAGGATCAAACCTAGAGCCTCACGCATGCTCGGCAAGCGCTCTCTGAGCCACAACCCCAGGCCCCCCCCCCAATTTTTTATTCTTTTTTTTAGTCATAGATGGACACAGTATCTTTATTTTTTTTTATGCGATGCTGAGGAGCAAACTCAGTTTACCTAGCCTCACATGCTAGGCAAGCACTCTACTTACCACTGAGCTACAACCCCAGCCCGCCCCCAGAAACAAATAACAAAACAAATACCTTAACCTTCAGGAGAAATGGACATTTGAAAACTCACTTATCTATAGATCTTTAAAGATCTGATGGTTTCAGCAAAATGGCCCAAAATAAGAACAATATTGCTATCAATAAATTACTACACTGATAGAGAAAAGATCAAATCCCCTTTAAGTTTTTAGAATGGCTCTTCCACGTTAACTATGTTGCACACATTTTGTTTACTCAGGAAATATTTATTGGGTGGGAGGTGTAGCTGAGTGGTAGAACATTTGCCTTGCACACTTGAGGCCCTGGGTTCCATCTCTAGCCCCACAAAATATAAAAATTCAAAAAAAAAAAAAAAAAGAGAAGAAAGGAAGATTGTTTTATCAAAGGCTACCACCTTGGAGCCACTATGTCCCATGATGTGACTATAGCACTGAACCAACTCCCTGCCTTCACAGAGCATATATTCTAGTGGCACAGGTGTTCTTTAATTGTCTGTTCTCTCTAGCCTACAAACACGTTTAGATCCATTCTGATTCTAGAGTAGTAGTCCAAAATGGAGATTTGATTTTGCCAGTCCTTGGCCTTAGAGTCCCCTTTGCCCATATTTCTTTTCTTTTTTTTTTTTTTTTTTAATTATTTATTTATTTAGTTTTTGGCGGACTCAACATCTTTGTTTGTATGTGGTGCTGAGGATCGAACCCGGGCCGCACTTGTGCCAGGCCAGCACGCTACTGCTTGAGCCACATCCCCAGCCCATGCCCATATTTCTCAACATGATACCCACAAGCTTCCACAGGCCCTGTCTCTCTGTATTCTGTACTCCAGCCTCCTGGGTGTCACTTCTTTATTGCTGAAGAGACTCTGGTCAGCCACAGCACTCTCTTGGCCCAGCAGGTCTCTGCAATCAGATCTCTGTTTATTTGTCTCCTTTCTGTCAAGAGCCCTCTCAAAATCTTGGTTTCTCTCAGAAGTCCTACCAAATGCTACTGTCATACACTGTCTGTCCCTTCCCTGTAGTTACACAGCACTGTTCATTTATTCATGCCATCATGTAGCAAATGTTTCTTGACATCCAGCACACACCAGGTTCTGGAGTTAGAGAAAAAGATATAATTCTTACTTTGAGAGAGTCCATAGTCTAGTCCAGCAGCAGGCAGGTAAACTGGGGACTAAACTTAGTGTCATAAGAGCTATTAATGCTAGGCATGCACTGAGAAAGCCAAGTGGAGGCAGTTAACCAAAGGGCTGATTAATGGATGCTTTGCTTTGAGTTATATATATATTTTTATGTGTGTGTGTATGTGGTATGGGAGATGGAACCCCAGCCTCATGCATGCTAAGCATATGCTCTGCCACTGAGCTGTACTCCTATCCCTGAGTTGTACGTAGATTTAAACCCATTGTGATTCTTCTTAAAGTCAGCTGGACCAGAATAAGTTTCTATAATGTACATTTCTCCCAACTGGGTTACAAGTTCCAGGAAAACAAAGTATAATTGTCATCTCTGTGACTCCTGGCACAGTACCTGTTGGAAAGAGTAGAAACCAAAAGTAATATACATTTTATGAGCCTGCCACAGTGGTATATGCTAGTAATCCCAGCTACTTGGGAGACCAAGGTGGGAGGATCCCTTGAGCTCTGAGCCATGAGTTTGATAACAGCCTGGGTGGCAAAGCAAGACCTTTCTCAAACAAACAGCAAAGTTGGGCATGGTGGCATGTGCCTGTAATCCCAGCTACTTGAGAGACTGGCAGGAGAATCACAAGTTCAAGGCCAGACTCAGTAACTTAGTGAGACTCTGCTCAAAACTTAAAATTAAAAGGGCTGGCAATGTGGCATATGGCTCCATGTTAAAGTGCCCCAGGTTCAATCCCTATACCAAAAAAAAAAAAAAAAAAAACTTGCTGTGGGGCTAGGGTTGTGGCTCAGTGATAGAGTGCTTGCCTCACACATATGAGACCCTGGGTTCGATCCTC